AATTGCTAAAAAAAGTATTGATTCGGCTAATAGAGTTAAGTGGGAGATTGGAGACGCCGGTGGCGCGAAATATATGCACCCCGACGTGTGTAGATATACCGGTGAAACGTTATAAATCACGTAACGGAGCAGAACTCACGATTCCGATGTGACAATATTACCGAATTCGGAACAGACCCCGGACAGATTGCAGCTTAAAGCCGGTATTTTTCACCTCCTATTTACAACTAAATTCGAAATGATATTCCGCTTTCGTTGTTTCTATTTAGGTTGGATTGCATGTTCATTTACGTAACGTAAGTTTTTAATTTAATTACGCCCTACGCCCACATCTGGTACGTTAGCGGCATTTTTCAGGAAGTGTTAACGAGTTTGAGATTACAATTTTAAATGCGGCTCATTACCGTTTAATATTTACATTATACAAATGGCATTATTCCGGGGCTTCGTAATTCGTATTTGATCAAACGAAAGAAAAAAACCCGGAATGTTAATGCGGCTAAATTTAAATACAAAAGATTCGCGTGCTGCATATACCCCGTTGTTTATTACGTTCCCATTCGCATTAGGACCTACCTTAATTCATTATTGTAATTGGAGCTGAGATTTTATTTCAATTATACGTCGGAGAATTTTACGAATTGTTAGAATGCTAAATAAAACCATTTGGAGCAATTTCGCGACATCGATGGGGCGTGGATTCGAGAGTACCGAGGTTGTACTCAAATAATAAACGATCAAAAATATTCCGAGTGGGATTACAAGCAAGAAATCGTTCGAATAAATCGCGCCTACTCTGGAAGATACCCGAAATCCCCGGATGCATGTGTTTGTATCGCGAATTCGGGATCCAGGATCGAATTAATTTGTTATTTGAGTAGGCCAATTTGGAGTTAAACATATCGCGGGTAAGGAAAGTCTGCGACGTCGAATCCGGCGGAATTGCAAATGAACGCTTTATTACTACACCGCGGTTGGTGCACACCTTTTCGAGGTTTGAGATATGCATTAATTTGTTTTGTTTACACAACTAAATCAATCTCTGTATGAATAGAGATGCGCCCGGGACGGGGCAAACAATCAATGTATACACACATACCCCGGCGGAAATTGAATTATCGCTTGTAAATATGTCCGATTGTATTTGGAGAATTTTTAATTGGTATAAACTCGCTTGGTTGACTACACTCCCTAATTCCCGGTGGAATTGAAGAAACGCGCGCAATTAATAATACATTTATAATCGATTATTGACCACCGCGAGGCCAAGGCTTCGCGTATATCGGAGGAACTTTCATTTGAAAAATTTCTTGTACATTTACAATGAACAATACGATTGTGAGAAAACATTCCTTTTCCGAGAAAATCGATAATCGCCGATGCTATTATGTAGAAAGCACGAGTAAACAAACTATTGTAAAAATCCTATACGCCTAGCCTATGCGATGATGATTGGAACAATTTAATTTTACGCAACCGCAATATCAGCAATCTAAAATCAAAAGCGAATGAGAAGAGCAAGGTTAATGTCAGACACTCCCACACACGGGCCACTTAAAAAAATACAACAATTAAGCCAAATCGATGATATTATTCGTGTATGCCTTAAGAGGATCGTTCGTGTAACAATATTTCAGCATTATTTTTTTACAGTGTCGAATACTCTTAAGTAACTTATTGGTGTTTGTTTGTTCGAAGTAGGTACCTACAGCGAGAAATTTTATGATTAATGAAGGCAAAATTGGGCGCGATTTAAATGTGATTGTGAATTCGGCATTAGAAGCGAGAAAACGTTTTGTTTAATTTATTACCATTGTGATAAAGATACGGCAAAGCGCCGAATTCGGTCGGTTAATAATTAAAATCGGGTATTGCATTATGTAGGTCTCCGTGAATTATTATATCGTTCGCTATACAAAATACTGTTTGTATTAGATTCTAATGCAATTCGGCCGTACAATTATTTCAAAAGAATTCGTAACGAACTATTGTTATTTATGTTAATTGTACACGTAAAATCGGTGTTAAAATAAATTTTCTAGATCAATTTACAAATTAACGGGCCCACGAAAAAACTGTAAATCTTTATCATTCCGCTTGTTCGAACCTACTATTAACACCTCTTCGTTATTTCCTTCAATTTTGTGACGAAATCTTTAAATGGCCTTTTTATTTCAAACTGCTTAATTAAAGTGCGTACCTATAGGTGAAATATTTCCAGATGTAATCTCTAAATTTGTCAATAAATCGACGAAATGTTAATGGTAATAAACACGCCTACAAATTAGGCCGGTTCAACCTTAACAATGATTTATCCCCAAGCGAAATTGGAGTAATTAGCCGTATAAATTCACAGTAGATACGTGTTAATTACATTTTAAATATACAGGATGATTTGTGCGCCCGTCGAGAAAATATTAAGGTCTCGACGAAAATAAATTAGCCGAGTAGATGTGCGCAATTTAAGCGGCGAACGTCGAAATATTCTCGATTGTTGAACTGGCGCACTCGATTTTCCGAACGGAAAACGAACTTAATATAATTGGAAAAGTTTTTATTATTGCTACTATAAATAATTCCGAGAGGAAAGTCCGTCGACGCCCGTTCGCTCGGCTTTTCTCCCCGTATTACAACTTGTAGATAAGGGTGTACTCTGCGATTAGTTGCGAACGATTCAAACGGAATAAAACTCGTATAAAAACTTTTTTAGATTTCTCTTACACTAATTTAGTTTTATCAATCATTCCTCTCTTACATTTTACATCCTTGTAGATGTACTAGTCTCGTATTAACGATTATTTTCAACAAGGAAACTCCTCTACGTTCGTACGGTGTGTTATTATAATACGATAAATTTTACATAAATGGCAATTTCTTGTTAGATGCGCTGATATCTAATGATAGATTATTGTTTGATGATGCTCACGGTCGTTAGATATTGATGCAGTGAAAGGCTTTGTAGTTTATGTGGGTGACATCTCGGCAACGTTTTATAAATTATAGAGAGCATCGCCGAAACAATGCGAATGTCGCAAGAGGAAATCGAAGCGATTTCAAAATGCTATTTCTTATAGCCGTAGAAGCTCTGTAATTAATCAATCTTTCGATATCACTGGACTCATCGGAAACGTTTACTCGGGAAAGTGAGAATACATTGATGGGAGAGGAGAAAAATTAATTACCTCTTCGTTAATTGTTGTTGTAAACAGTTTATAAATGAAATGTCGCAACGTCGCTCATCGACCTTTTTTGATGTGTTGCAACATTTCGTTCTATGATTTATATCGAATAAAGCCGACTTTGTTCTTCGTCGATAGATTTGTTAAAACTTGAACGTGAAAAGACCAGCCTTCACAATTCGATTCGAACGATTGCACTTATTGATAAATTAACGATTCGTTTATAAGCTTTTTCATTGTTTTAATCGTGTCAATGATAAATAGGATGTGTTAACGACAACTCAACATGGTCAATACCTTGCTGTAATTAATATTTATGAATTTCTTGGGTTCATAATCTTATAATTCTATAAATATTTTCTTATGGAATTTTGGGTATTAATTATTTCCACTTTTATACAATATTTATAAATGTAAATTACAAATGTGTATTTTCGATTACAACACTTTTTAAACGAAAGTGGGCTCAGTAAATACAATATTTATTGATATAAAAATCACTATATTGGTATTAATTTTTATTTCATATGAATTGTGTTTTATTTATCTTTAAATCTAACCGAGCATACTATAATAACATTTTTCATATTCCATATATTTTTTGCATTTTTTTCTATCATCGAAACCGTTCAAAAATTCAACAATTAATCTACAACAAAGTATACATTTTTGATTAATCAATGTCAGTATGACTTTAATTACACATACTGTTGTTTTACCTTGCTCTCGCCTACTTTCGTGCAAAAACTATTAGAATTGGTAATACATCCTACCATCAACTGCATACTAATATTTTTTTCGACTTATCGAAAATATCCAAATCGAAAATTAGTCACAAATTCAGGATGAAGCAACCGGTATTTTATTTTGACATGAATACTAATTCGATTTCGCAACGGAAAAGATAAGTATAATTGCATAAATTATTAACAAAATGTAGTAAATCGCTAATTAAATTGTCTACCGATCGAACGATCCGGCTAAAAAAGTGGTTAATTTTAATTTCGTTTGTGGCAATTTCGCGGGATTCGTGTACAACATTGAACTTTGAAGCTTTGAAGATCCGTTGCGCAAAATTAAATTTCCCAAATTTTTTACCGAAATAAATTAAACAATTTTACAACTATCATTTGCTTATTAAACAAATTGCTAAAAATAACGTTTTAAGCGATAAAATTGTAGATAGTTTATGAAATAAATCGAATAAACACTAATCGTATCGGATTCAGCTAAATTTACCTATTAATGGTTTCGTGATTAAAGGTTAATGGTGAATACATATACAGGGTGTGACGGAATTCACGCCCTACCCGATGAAGTTTCCAGTAAGGAATGGTATAAACAAATAAACCATTAAGATACTTAGATGAGATAAGTCGATAAGTTTGCATCAGTGAAAAATGCCGAGAAACGTGAAGAAATTTTATTATATTTAAAAACGACTAGTAATAGGAGTGTTGTGGATTTCAATTTTAGCACTAATTATGCTATTATAATCACTGTAAGAGTTAGTATACTTTCACAACACAAAACACAATGCACTATAGTAGGTTGATTTGAAGTGGGAAATTCTTCTATATTAGATCGATTAAAGCGGTAAAAGTCTCGGATTGGTGATAATAAATAAAGCGGCGACCTTGCTCTTGATTTCCCGAAAAAAAAAACGAACCGCTCTAGCCGGACCGCCGTCGACGGCATATCACTCCGGAATACCTCATGACCTAGAGAAACTCTTTCTTCGGGTAATCGTTCGCGTCAGCCGGTGTGCCGAAGGAACCGTTCGCGAACGGGCCGCCTTCGCCAGTCTCGGTTCTTCAGTCTAAGACCAGAACTCCGTTCGACCGCTACCATTTGAGTGCTGGCTGCCCCACGTGCTTTTCACCGGTGAGTACCTTTTGTCCTATTCTTCGGGGGGACGACCTTTCGACCTATCCTTCTCCCCCACTCCTTCGGATTCTTCTGCCATACACCCCCTTTGCTCGGTGACACGGTGCAAACGAGAAATTTCCCATTCGTATAACGGGATTATTTGAATGATGGATGAGGCGAGGAACCCACTGTGGATTTATGAAAGCGAAATCGATTGGGAACTTCGGTTGTTTGATTGAGAAAGTGCATTTTTATTTTTTCGAATTTTAATTGACTCATAATCAAATATTTCTCAAATGTAATACACTAGATTAATTACTTACATAATTTGATTTGCAACTTAATTAAGCGATAATGAGATTTTTTAACATCTTGTAACAGTTTCGAACGACTGCAATAAAATATTTGCTTTCTACTTATCGCTATTTATTTGTAGAAAGCCCGATTCCGAACAAAATGCATTGTGTACCTATTTTTTATATTCCAAAAATCGAATAACCTACTGCATAAATTCTATAATAACGGAGAAATTCATTAGAAAACTGCAATGGGTTTCTCGTCTCATCTCCCATCGAAGATATATACATCCTGCAGCGCATCTTCCGCGTGTACATTTCTTTCCTGCTGGCTGTACGAACACTTTCTATTATCACGACAACGCTTGACCGGCCAGCGGCCGTTAATTATTTTGAAACTAGCGAAATCAAATGAGTACCTAAACATCGAAATATAAAAACAAACTGGAACTTCTGATGCACGAGTTTCGGTACAAACACTAAAACGAACTAATTAATAACCCGTGCTCGTTTGATTTATTGTCTTACTAAAATTTAACTGTTGGAGAATGTTGATTTAATTATGCGGTAAAAAACCGGTGATTTATTTCGCTCGTTTAAATATCAGTTCCACACTTCCATCAAATCGTTTATGTAATGACAATTAGTAACGATGAGACGTGGCGAAAAGAGTAATACACTATGCATTATGTATTTTTTTTTTCTATTAGCTGTAATTGACTTAATAAGTATGGAAAGTCCATTAATTTTCAAGTGTAAGTGAAGAGCATTGAGTATTTATTTCTGCGAGCGCGAGAAAGATACTTTTTCAAACATTATTTAAATTTATTTTTACAATTGACTAAAAATTAGAATTTCCATTAATAAGTTGTTTAACGACTTTTAATTTTAACAATGTTGTTAAACATTGAACGTATAAAAAACCGAAAAGACTTAATAATATAAATAAAAGATTAGCAGTAGACGACATAAATGATGTGGGATGAATTTTATAAAAAAAGCTGTAAAAACATCGTTCTAACATTAAATTTTCCCATAATTTTACGTGAATAATATTTAAATTAGTCGTTTTGTATATGAGGATATAATCCTTGCAAGGTAATTTACGAATTTCGCTATATTTCGCCCTTGAATGATTATTTTTCATACCAAGAACAAAAAAAAGGTAAAAAAACAATATATTCAAATGGTTTCCAATCAATCAATCAATTTAAACAGATAACTAGAGGGTGTTTCATTCATATTCATAACAATTAAATTACCAAAGTACTTATTGTTCGCTAATTAACGAAATTATGGCGACCCGGAAAGCTTTTACATTGTTTTTGAATTTTAAATCACTCGTCATTACTGTAGTAATTTTTTCGATATCAATCCATCGCTATTTTTCATTCCAATATGCACAGAGAAAATGGCGAAAAAAAAATCGAACCTTTGAATTCCTATCGGTCCTGGTTGTTTTTTCAAGCGTTTGATTAATAGTCTTCACTTTTATATGGAATTGATACATGCTGAATACTGTTTGATTTATAAAAAGCCCGAAAAAAGGATACGGTACACACATATGTATTCGACTGATTAATGTCGAACGTTTCCATTTTTTACTGAAATAAACTGCATATAAATAACATGCTAATTAGCGATTTCTATGACTAGTTTCAATGCAAAACCTCAATGACAAATTTTCGTATGATTCGCAATTGAAATTTTCTCGGTTTTTATTTTTCTAACAAAAGCTCGTTGTGACATGTCCCGGATACGCGATTCATATACCATAAAATTTTACCATTTCGAAACCGGAGAATAATCTTAAATTTATAGGTTTAATCTTCGCGCGCATTAAGATTCACGATAACTGAAACAGCGGTAAAAAAAATCGATTTGAATAGACTCGCACTTTTACGGCAATTTCGATCGTTTATGCAGATTTCCGCCAAGTATATTCGATTTCCATTAACGCAAATATGTTTATAACTATGTACGTATTTCATTAATTATATCGTTCTTGTATAATTGTTATAAATTAATAGCTACCGTAATAAACAAATCGTAAAAATGTACGAAAGAAGCTATGTAAATACCGCAAGTAATTGATAGGTACTTGGAATTCTATGTTACCGATATAAATTATAATTAACTGGTAATTTGTATAGGTAATATTATAGTTGTCTACTATGTATGGTATATTAAAACGAATTTTTATATTGTAGGATAAGCTTTTTTTTCTGTGGAATTTTCTTCAACCCCTTTCCCTGTGAATTTAATCTCTCCTCAACAGCTTGCAGGAGTGATCCTTGTGCCTTGGGCGCACAATGCTCGACGGTATATAATTTATTCCGTTTCTTGTCGAAGTCGAAACTACTGAAAGGAAAATTTCTTGAGTTCGGTCTTTGTTTGAGTGTTTTCGTCGGCATAAATAGATTTATTCAACTTTTCGAAAGCTATTCTCATTTAAAATTCCAAACTCTAGTGCTTTTAACCTCTTTGAATTAGTTATATACGTGCTCGTTCGAGATTTTTGAGTCCGCGCGAATTTTCCAGAGGACCATCTCTCGCTCAAAGTCCCGCTGAATTAGTCACTTTCTAAATTTATCCCCTCGGATCGCGATGAACAATTACTGCTAATTAACGTTTCAAAATATGAAAATGCTTTGTTATTACTACATTCTTCGAGGCTAAAAATAGTCGTGTTATGTCTTAGAAAACCTTGAGTGTAGGTAACATGAACAGAATCCTCTTTTGTTGCACATACACGTGAATGAATTAGTCACATCTTTTTAACTCTAACCTACACGTTGATTGTACGATATATAAAATTAAACGTTTCATCATGAAATGTTTACAGTGCTATATAATTTTCATAAATATATACGATCTAATGTGAGTTTATATTGGCTTGAAATTGAATTGTTAGTGACTTTATGTACGTACATTAGATATTACGTAGGTTTTGAAAAAAAAATAAATCACCGTTTTGTGTTGAATGCAAATTCTCGTTAAATGATTTATTAACCTTTATAAATTAAACATTATCAATTACACAGTAATAAATATCGCTTGGAATGCCTGCATTTGTAATTTGAATTTTCTAATTACTTTTTTTTAATATCTTGACCTACTTTTATAGCAGTTTATACCATATTGTACTCGAAATTAATTGAAAAATGGTACTTGAAATATTGCATAAAAAGCGAGTAGAATCCAATGCTTTGTATACGACGATAAATAAAAGAAGTGTTTAATTAGTGATAGGTAAGTAAAATGAATCGAGTTCCTCTTTTAGTATTACAAATGCGTTTCACCAGCTTTAATAACACGCACGTTAGGTCATATTGATTTATGTTGGCATGCGGAACATGGGCAGAAGACGGTCTTCCTGAAGCGAATTGCAACACAAACCGAATACGGATCGGAAGATTCCTTAATTGTTAATGTAACGGACGGTTTGAGTAAAATTTCTGAAATATCTCTTAGAAAAACCGCACGATTATCGTTCTGGTCTAGTTCCCGATCCGAATCGATTGTTGCAACAACAAAAAAAAGCGATCGCAATAAATTATCCAAATACTGGGATTTTTAACGAGAAATTGCTCGAGTGTTTCGCACGTAACAAATTCCAGCTCGTTTTTCGCGGTTGTACAACAAATATAAGAATCGAATTCGCGCCATGTAATTGCACGAGGAAGAGGAAATCAAAAATTGCATTTTTCGATAATCTAAAATCGAGCGAAACCTATATCATTTCTATTGAACTATATCAATTCTCACTAATAAATTCTCCGAATTTACAAAACAACGCAAAGCAAAAGTTCTTGAAAACTTATTTTTGCGAAAACTATTTAATCCGAAATTGCTCAGGTTCAATTTAAAGTTGAAAAGGCGCAGTTTAAAAACAATTCCGTAGTCGCCCTTATAAAATAAAATTGAATCTTTTATTACAACATTTCCTTGTATAAACGAGATTAACTCGAATGCGAGATATATCAAATGCAACGAACGTTCCTTCATAGTGTCACTCGCACTAAACAGAAGTTGTATTACTTTTATATGAAGTCTGTTATTTTCTCGCTCGGTTAGGGGGTGTTCTCCAAATCATAGGCGTACACTCTAACTCTTCAAAAAATTTATCATACTTATCTTTCTCCCCTTGGATGAACAAAAATGTAGTTATATCGTGGATAAACTAGTGCATTCGTTGTGCAATACACTAGTGCAATAATCGTTTTAACAGCTGTTGAAAGTATATCTGAGATAATATATTTTTTTCTTGTGAATTAAAATTCTTGTGTGGCGTCGCTGGTTTTCCTGCTATAAGGGAAAGTCGGGAGGAAACCGTGGCAGTGTTCGCGACAGCGACTTATTGATAGCACTCGCAATAAAATACAAGTTAGACGCCGTCTAAAATTACTGTTAATAATGATCCGACGACCGGATAATAATTCTAATGAAAATTTAATGAAAACTTAACGGGCTTCATTAATTTTCCGGATAGATTGTGAAATTCGTGTCGTGCGGCTGGCGAGCGCCGGTGCGCAGGAGCACTTTTAATTTTTCTAGTGGCAGCATTTCCGCTGGTGCGCTTCGAGTCTCTCTCGGTTTTTCGTACTTAGAAAATGAATATTTGCTTCTTAACCGGTTTCACTTTAAATTAGCATGAACAATTACCGGTCGTTTTGTTCGAGCGAATTTCGTATGCTTTCCACAACAGGAAATAATTAG